AGCATCAACATAACGAAAAAACTTAAATTTCTAACTTAAAATAATTTAAAATAACCTCATATTAAATCAAGCTTATTATTGAGCGCTAAAAAACCCTCGCTGTTGACACGCTCTATAAATCAATACCTCTCTCTCTCTCTCTCTCTCTCTCTCTCTCTCTAACATACCAAATCTCGTTTTTTTATCTAAAAGAAATAAAAAAAAGTTATAGGGGTGAGCCACATTTGAGACGCACCCGGTAGCAGTTTTATGTCTACGGAATATTGGGACACCTGTATATTTTTCGGCTTTCGAGGACAACTACTTATTTAAATTTTGGTATTATAGTAATAAATAAGGAGAATATATATATTAAACATATCTTCATGGAAATTGTTTTTTAAAATAATTTCATTCTTATTTTCTAATCATAGTTTCATTATTCTGAAAGTTAATTTAACTTTTAAATATCTCCCAGTAAATAAACAAAATGATTAATAGAATTTATTTGTCTGGACATGACGATCATGGTCTATTTTCCCTTATCTTTTGTCGGCAAAATGTGTAAAATAATAAATACGGAGTTGAAGAATGTTCTCGCTTCGTCCGCAGGCGTGGATTTGACGGCAGGATATATGGTTCACATTTTTTCCCTTTCCAGCAGTAATAGTTTGCAGGATGAAATGAGAGACTGAGGGATGATCGCTGTACTTTTAGACGCATTAAACTTTTTTAAACGAATCTCTCAAGCGGAAATAATGCATTAGAAAAGTAATCTGTTCTTGTTTGCTTATTTTTCAGAGTTGTTAGTGTTTTACAGAGACTCTGATTTTATTATTAAACGATTTGTGTTTTAAGATAGATGATTAATAGCTTATATTGGTTAATTTAATTTTGATATAGCCGTGGATAAGCATACTATTTTTTGAATATTTTTACTTTTTAATATATCATATCATTACTTAATAATTAATTAATTACTTAATAATTATTTTTTTTAATACAGGGTGGCGCCTCTCACACGCCACGGAAGCTCCAAGGAGAACGGTAGTTTATATCAAAATGAAATTTTGGCAGCATATTATGTAGATAAACTGAGAGTATTTTATAAAAATATATAAAGTTATACACGGTGCTCTAAAGAAAGTTACACATCAAAGTTGTGTTTTTTCTAATGGAACACCCTATACAGGGTTGTTCACCACATACGACACGGAGTATTGTTGCTAAACGATTAGATTTTTACAAATTGTAGGTTTTGGGTTCGTTGAAGGACTATTAGAGCTACAATGTGAAAATATTTTTACCAGATACAGAGTGTTCCAAATAAATAAAAAATATCAAAGTTGTATTTTTTTAAATGGAACACCCTGTATATTATTACATTTTTAGTTTCTACGATTAAAATAAAGGTAAATTTGATTAAGGTTTACCGCACTTTAATCTTACCGTTTTTGAAATATTTTCAATTTTGTCAAATTGCAGTCAAAATTTTCAGGCTTCATTTCTCCAAGGGTATCAAAGTTTTTAATACTAAATATTTACTGAAATTTATTTATTGATCAGTTATTGTGTTGCAATAATAAAAATTATACTACCTTATACAGAGTGCCTAATTTTTTTTTAAAATAATTACTAGCTGTAAACGGCAATAACTTGTTTAATTTGAATGGAACACCCTGTATATTTTATGAGAACCACATGCACAATTTAATTGTCTATCAAATTGTATTATACCATTTTTTACCTATATCTTCAAGTTTACGTAGAAAATGCATTTTCTTGCAATTTAAAACTCATTTATCAATATACCCATGGACTATTGACATTTTAGATTATTTTTAAAGATGTACCAAATTTTTAAAGAGTACAGATACTAATATTTTCATTATAGTTTGTTTATTTCATTAAGAAATAAAAAAAAACTGTTTAAATATTTGTTAAAGACTACCAATTAATATGATTCCAGTATTCAAACTACATTAATTGAGTGTTTGCGTTGATTAATAATAATTGCTCCAAATACTAAAAAAACTGAATTTTGTATGTATATTACACAGTGTGGTAAAAAGTAACACCTTAAAAATTATATTTCATTTTTTGACAAATGCTTATTTATAACAACAGAGATTCATTTTCATAACTTATTATTTATTGATTAATAATAAGTTATGAAAATGAATATCTGTTGTTATTGATTCAAATGATTCAAATCCACATTTATTTAGAATAATTTATTAACGAACATAACTAAGTATGTAATTAATTAGTATTTGGGCGGAAATAAAGGTGGTATATTTAATTAATGGTATACTCTTTTATAAAGATTTAAATAGTTTTCTTTTTGCTTACAAATGGGCTAGTAATATTATCATTTTGCTAAAAACGATAATATTACTAGCCTGTACATTTTGTACATTTGTTGTTTTAAAAACAATCTAAAATGTCAATATTCTATTGGTATATTGATAAATGAGGTCTAAATTATAAGAAAATGCATTTTCTACGAAAACTTGAAGGAATAGGGAAAAACTGGTATAACATAATTTGATAGACAATTAAATTGTGCATCTGATTCTCCTAAAATATACAGGGCGTTCCATTTAAATTAAACAACTTATTGCCGTTTAAAGCTAGAAATAATTTAAAATAAATTTTTTGACACTCTGTATGAGGTAGTATTATTTTTATTATTGCAACAAAACAACTGATCAATAAACAGACTTCAGTAAATATTTAGTATTAAAAACTTTGATACCCTTGGAGAAATGAAGCCTTAAAATTTTTACTGCAATTTCACAAAATTGAAAATATTTCAAGAACGGTAAGGTTTAAGTGTAATAAATCTTAATCAAATTTACTCTACCTTAATAAAATTTACTCACTAATCTTTATTTTAATCGTAGAAACTAAAAATGTAATAATATACAGGGTATTCCATTTAAAAAATACAACTTTGATATTTTTTATTCATTTGGGACACTCTGTATCTTGTAAAAATATTTTTAAATTGTAGCTCTAATAGTCCTTCAACGAACCCAAAACTTACAATTTGTAAAAATCTAATTATTTAGCTACAATACTCCGTTCGTATGTGGTCAACAACCCTGTATATTAATTGATTTTCGGATTCTAGGAAAAAAATTAAGGTGATTTTTATTAAAAATTCATATACAAGGTTTTTATTAAAGAAGCATATATAGTAAACGCCACGAATGTTTGGGAGTGATTCATAGCTTGATGAAGTTAGAATCGACACGCGCGCTATCATTTTTACATTAAAAACGTAAATTTTTACCGCAGACGTAGGTTTTTAAAGGCCCGGTCTAATCATCTGCCTGCGCTCCTCCTACTTATTCTAAAATGTTAGCGTGATTGACAAAGACGATACTATATCGCGTTTCTTTGATTGATTCGTTTTTATGCGTCAGTCCATTGGTGTGCTTGCAGTGCGGCCAATGGGGCATTCCATTTTATATTTATAAGCAAATATATGTTTTGACAAGACTTTGACAGTTAAAACAACAAATTACAACAGATTATATATTGAATATTATATGACTTTAAACACCACGACACTGGAATTAAGTTTTATGTGACCTTGAACAGATTAGTTCACATGGTAGCGACCGATGAATCACTCCCAAACATTCGTGGCGTTTACTATACCTAAAATCTAAGGATTTTGACATATTTTACATTTTTTGAAAATGAAGAGTAATTTTTAAATTTCGATAACAGCTACCTAAATCTTAGTTGACCTTGTATTGTTAAACCAAGTTGAAATTTGACCCGAAGAGTTACAGAGGGTGAGACAAAATTAATATGGAACATTGGTCACTTTTAAGAGCATGTTACTTCTTTATTTTAAATGGAACATCCAGTATATTTTTCCGGTGTTTATTGGGGAATTTATATATCTTCAAAATATTATTAAGATTGCCTATCCCTCAGACAGAGATCTTCATAGATATTTTAATTTTTATGATTTTACGTCAGTAGATCTTTATTATTGGAAAAAATTTAGGGGTGGCTGTGTGATATACCTTTTGTAAAAAATTACAGAAAAATATGCAGTTCTTAGATAAAAAATCAACATTTTCAATCCTAAATAACTCGGAAAATATTAATTTTCTGAAAAAATGTTATAGAAATTTTTTACTTAGAATTCATCCCTTTATTGATTTTTGTAATTAAAATGGGTTATTTATTTTTCACCCCCGAGAAGGGGTGGCACTCACTCCCAAGGTGAAAGCACACTTCGCTACTATGTAAGTTTTATTTTTTACATATATCTCTATTCACTGTTAAAATTTCACGTCAATCGGTTCGGGTGTCAAGAATTCGGAGGTAATACCCTATTTTTATCCTCGCTAACTGGCCTATACCAGATGTTTTCCTGTCATGGAAGTCCTAATATGGAAGTCAGGATGAATAGAGGAATAACAATAACTAAAGAATCCAAGGACAAATAACACCCGAGAGCAAATTGTGCCGATGTCACCAAACAGTGCTCCGGCACATATTTTTCTTAACCTAGCTGTTTGAAGCAATATTTATATTTTTTGATAATTGTTTTGACTACGCCTATGGTGTATCATACTAATTAATTACGAAAAAAAACGCATTAAAATGTTAACAAAAGGTACAAAACTAGTATCGACGTATAGCACATAAATATCAAGTACATATAGATGTTAATTGAAATTGAAGAATAATTATCGGAATTCAATAAGAAAACGCTAAAAAGTTGGAGTGGCCTGTTTATCTACCTATGAAACGTAACTCCTGGCTCTTTCTTATCGTTGCTGCTTTTACACTTGAAAACTGAACAACTAATCACCATTGTAATAAAGTTTATACAAAGTTTACTACACACAAACTATTAAAAATCGCTAAAATTGTCGCTGGTGACTCATTGTTTGTCATCAAAAGAATGGCCTCTAAGGTCACAAATTCTGCTGCAGCCCGTATATGGGCGTTACATGTCCTTATATTCTTTAGTCATTGGGAATAATGTATAATTTATTTTTTTTTACGTTTATTTTCTTCTATCTTATTGTTATCTGAACAAGTTTAAATAATATTTAAATCCGTTTGTGCTCCTGTATTATTCTGGGTTGTATTAGGGAAGAAATGATTTTTAAAGAAATTTAATACGGTATATTTAACTTTCTTCTGTAGGTTTTTGTACGAATTCCAGGGTTTGCTGAATATCCACGTAAATCTTTGTAGTAGTCCTGTTTTGGGCAGGGGTGCTCTCGTTTGGGGATCTTCGCCGGGGCTGCGTTTAAAACGAGAATCATTTTGTGAGAGTGGAGTTACCTTTATCTTTCGATCTTTGAAATGGTAATTAAGTAAATAGCTCATCATATCTGAAAGAAAATAACGATATAAAGCTAAAACTAGTTTAAGGTACTGTTGTTCTATACAAAATCTAGGTATACCTATAATATTATGAATTCATTATGCCTGGTGTTTTTCGCTAACACCCCTATAACTTTTTTATTTTTTTCAGATAAAAAAACTAGATTTGGTATGTTAGTATATGACATATTATACAGGGTTGTTCACCACATACGACGCGGGGTATTGTAGCTAAACTAAGTACATATTAGGTTTTTGCAAATTGTAAGTTTTGGGTTCGTTGAAGGACTATTAGAGCTACAATTTAATTTTTTTACAAGATACAGAGTCTCCCAAACAAATAAAATATATCAAAGTTGTATTTTTTTTAAATGAGACGCCCTGTATATTATTACATTTTTAGTTTCTACGATTAAAATAAACGTAAATTTGATTAATAGTTCAGTCATTGGGAATTTTTGCTTGGAAAAAAGTCCGGAAGTTTTGCAACTTTGCAGGTTTATAGGTTTTGGGCTCCCTAACTTAAAATCCATAAAATGCACATCTCCAGACTTGCCGCCGGCGCCGCCATCTTGCCGAGATGGCGCCCAAAATCGGTATTTGGTCTCGAAAACTATGCGTTTTTCGCAAAAGTTTGAGGAGAGCAAAATTAAAGAGAATAAGAATTTCCTATACAAAAGGTTCTATGAAAATTTTTGCTAAACACAACCGTTTAGGCACAAAATCCTTGGAAATTTTACAATTTTGCGTAAAATATGATATATTACGTATAGTCGATTTTCCGAAATCAAATGTCGATTAGGGTTCACTAAAACTAGTTTTAGTTTAGTTTCTACAATTTTGTCATGAAACGGTCTGTCATGAGTGGTCTCCCCGGAGGCCTACTCCACTAGATAAATTAAAAACTTTAACTTATCTGCACAAGCCCGACGGACCTGGCTCATTGATGTAAAGCAGGGTTCGGAAAACTACATGTTACTTTTAAAAACTACATAAACTACATTACATGTAGTTAATGTAGTTTATGTAGAGGGTGTAGTTTATGTAACCTATGTATGTAACTTTCAAATATCAAAGATTTGAGGAGACGTTATAATAAGTTGAAGTTTTAAAAACACATAATGTATTTAAGAAAACAGAAAAAAATATGCCTTTAAATATAATATTTACATCATATTATCTCTATTACACCTCATACAAATGAAAATTATTCATAATATCAATACATAGTTTATTAACGTAGTTTTCGAACAAGTTAATGAACGAGAAAAGACGTAGTTTTTGAAGAAAAAGTACACGTAGTTAATCAGGTATATATATATATATATATATATATATATATATATATATATATATATATATATATATATATATATATATATATATATATATATATATATATATATATATATATATATATATATATATATATATATATATATATATATATATATATATATATATATATATATATATATATATATATATATATATATATATATATATATATATATATATATATATATAAATCATAGATTAATTACTTCCGAACCCTGACGTAAAGTCGATCGTGTCTGCTGTGCATGGTGGTCTCTCAATTCGTCCAACTCTTCATCTTTAGCCGCCAGAGGGATATCTACAGGCAAGTCCAACTCCTCTTTATCGGATTCGTCGAGTGACTCTTCAGTGGACTTCACAGGATTTTCCATTGCAGTATGCACAAATCATTGAACATTTTAATCCTGCTTTTCTGCATCCGCAGGCTTTACCACAGTTGTTGGTTTTGCATTTACAGGATAAAAATGTCAATAGGGATTTTGGAGCTAGATCTGTCAACGTTGTGACTGGAGTAATGCCTGTTTTTGTTTTCTTCCAACCCTATTCTTCGGCATCTTTGGTACAACCAGACCAATGCTGAACCTGGTGGTAAGTTCGCAATCAATGCTGTCCAGCACGACAATTAATTATTCATAAATTAATTATTATTATATTAAACGAATTAATGATACGCCACTGTTTTATGATAAAATTGAAGAAACTAAACTAAAACTAGTTTTAGTAAACCCTAATCAACATTTGATTTCGGAAAATCGACTATACATACATATATCATATTTTACGCAAAATTATAAAATTTCCAGGGATTTGGTGCCTAAAGGGTTGACTTTCGCAAAAATTTTCATTGAACCCTTTTTATAGGAAATTTTATTCCCTTTAATTTTTCTCTCTTCAAATTTTTACGAAAAACGCATAGTTTTCGAGATATTTACAAAATACCGATTTTGGGCGCCATTTTGGCAAGATGGCGGCGCCGGCGGCAAGTCTGGAAATGTGCCTTTTATGGATTTTAGTTATGGACCCCAAAACCTATAAACCTGCAAAGTTTCAAAACTTCCGGACTTTTTTCCAAGCAGGCCCCTTTTTTGATCCCCAATGAACTAACTATAAGGTTTACTGCATTTTAATGTTACCGTTTTTGAAATATTTAGGTTTTCGTCAAAATACAGTAATAATTTTAATGCTTTATTTTTCTAGGCGTATTTAAGTTTTTAAAACCAAATATTGTACTGAAGTATTTCTATTTACTAAATTTTGTGTTGCAATAATAAAAATTATACTACTTTATACAGAGTGTCTAAAAATTTATTTTAAATAATAACGAGCTTTAAACGACAATAACTTCTTTAATTTAAATAGAACTCCCTGTATATTTTATGGGAATCAGAATTTAATTGTCTATCTATTTATGTATTAAATTATTTTTTACCTATGTCTTCAGGTTTTCGTAGAAAATTCATTTTCTTATAATTTAGACCTCAATTATCAATATACCCATGGCATATTGACATTTTAGATTATTTTTAAAAATGTAACAAATTTTTAAAGGGTAAAGATACTAATATTGTCGATATAGTTCGTTTATGTTATTAAAAAATAAAAAAATTGTTTAAATATTTGTAAAAGAGGACCAATTACTATGATTCCAATATTCAAACTACATTAATTGACTGTTTGCGTTGATTAATAATAATTGCTCCAAATACTAAAAAACTCAATTTGTATGTGTTATTAGACAATGTAGTAAAAAGTAACACCTTAAAAATTATATTTCATTTTTTGACGAATGCTTATTTATAAAAACAGAGACGTTCATTTTCATAACTTATTATTATATCGATTTTTGATTCAAAATCCACATTTAGTTAGAATAATTTATTAACTAACACAATTAAATATGTAATTAATTAATATTTGGACGGAAATAATGGTGGTATATTTAATTAATGGTATACTCTTTTATAAAGATTTAAATAGTTTTATTTTTGTTTACAAATAGGCTGGTAATATTATCGTTCTTAGCACCTGTACATTTTGTACATTTGTTGCTTTAAAAACAATCTAAAATGTCAATATTCCATGGCCATAATGCATTTATCATACCGACGCACTGTGGTCAATTTTGTCAAATTAGCCGGAAAAAAATATTAGTGAAAATTACTTAACTTTGATTAATAACTATATCTGATTTTATATGTTAGGTATCATAAAATTACATTAATAATATAATTAATAAGAACAGGTCGTATACAGGGTGTGTAATAATTAAAAACTTGGAAAAGTTTCGTTATTTTTTATTTTAAATAGATTTTGGTCGCGATCATTTGCATATGTTAAATATTTAAAAATTATCATATTCTAAGAATAATACAATGGATCTTACAGATTTTGCTAACAGTTGCTTTTAAAAAGTCAACAACCTCCAAGCATTTAATCTGGGCAATACGTCCTAAAAAATTGCCTGGACTTAACAGACGGACTAGGACGGTAAATTTGTAGGTTTGGTAAAGTTGTCTAATGGTTTAACTATCAACTTAACTTTATTTAAAATTGAAACCTCATAAGACTTGTTTCTGCTAGTTCATTAAAAAAATGTATATTCTAATAATTTAAAAAAAAATCTAACCATATCAAAATTATTTACTCATATTTAATACTCAACAGAAGAACATTAATGTCAAAAAACTTACCACCAACAATTGCTCTTTCCATTTTAGATAGTATTAATGACATATAACTTTTTGCACGGAATACCAAATTACTTTATTCATGTGCAAATAACAAGATTATTTAGTTTAGTTTGTCAACTATACTACATTTTCAATCAAAATAACAGTAAATTCGCAATGACCTTTGACATATTTGTTAATGAAATGTTCTTAGCAACTATTTCAAAGCCTACTTATGGAGTTTTTGACGCCGCTTAGCCTCATCAGATTTTTTAATATTTTCCTGTTTATTTTTAAAAATTGACCATAGTGCGACGGTACCATTTAAAAGTTAAATGGTGTAATTACTTCTGGCGATACTCGAAAATGTTTGTGGTCTGCAAATGCCAATTTTGATATAGAAATGAAAGTATCTCAAGAATGTAGGTGTAAAATTTAAATATGCCATTTCCTTTGAAATAACAAAATTCTGTCATATACAGGGTGTCCCAGGCTGATCGTGCATTAGAAGTTTCTAGAGAACTAAAATATCTAGCTCGGAGATTTTTTGCACATTATAGTTTCACAACGAGTTCTATCGATTAAAAATATTTTCAATATGGCGGCACTTCCGGAAATACCGGAAGTTGACAGCAACTTACTTATTTTAAATGGGTACCCCAGTTTTTATTACATACTAAAATTCTCTATAACATTTTATGAATTTTGATATTAAACACTCTATATCTAACATTGGCCGTTTTTGAGAAAAAAATATATTTAAAATTTTTGAACGAAAAAAACTGCCTGTCAAAAATATGTGTATAGCCTAAACGTCAAATTTAGCGATTACCACAGCCACTGTGCCATAAAGAGAAAACCTGTGGCTATTACAAAAACTAAATAGTTCGAATGTTATATAATAATGGCCGCAGCTGTCATGGAATTGAGCGATTAAGAAATTATTATAAATCGTTTTTTTCAAATGGAAACCCACATTTTCTATTTCACTAGTGAAAAGG